CGCTTCCCTCATCTCTTGAGTTCGGTACGAACTTGCGAGTTTGTCTTTCAATAAGGTATTGTTAAGAAGATTATGTAGCTCCAGTTCTTAGTGATGGAAATATTTAGATTATTTGCGAGGAGATTTGCTAATTTGGAAGATCTTGACAAATTTGTCAGCTGGTGTATGAAATGGGGGTCTTGTTTGGCTGTTATCCTGATCGACAGATGTTGTGTCAAATGCATAAAGAGTCCAGCAGGTGGCGTTAACGACAGGAATTCCTTTTTATTAGACAATAATCTTCTTCTTCCATTCTTTTATATTTATTTCTTCGTTTTCATCTTCTCTTATTTTTTTAATTTTCTTCTTCTTTCCTCTTCAATTTCGTTAACTTCTTTCTTTTTCCTTTTTCATTTCTTCTTTCTTTCATATTTTTTATTTCTTTTCATTTTCGTCTCTTCTTTTTTTTCTTTTCTACGGTCTCTTTTCTTTTCTGCTATCTTCTCTTTCGTTTTCTTTTTCATTTCTATTTCTTTCTTATCGTTCTTTTTCTTTCTTTTACTTTCTCTTTCTTTAATGCTTATTTATGTTTATTTTCAATCAACTTCCTCTCTCTCTTTTTTCTTCTTTCCTTGTCCCTTCTTTCTTTTTCTTTTTAATTTCTTCTTTTTCTTTGTTTGTTTATCTTTCGCTTTCTTCCACACTTATTCTTTTTTATCATTTTCCGTTTTCACTTTCTTTTTTCTTTTTCTTCTCCTCCTTCTCTGTTCTTTTGCATAGTTTTCATTCTTTCTTTCTTTTCTTCTTTGAGCGTTATGCCTTGTTCTCACATCCTGACCTCCGATATCAGTTGATGGACATCTCCGCCACCCTTCCCACTATCTTCGTCCAACAGTCATCCACTCTCGACTGACATACACTCAATGCCTCACCAAAGTAGATCAACAACCAGGAGAAAGCAAGGGAATGAACGCTCAATGTCAACATGTGGATAAGGATAAAAGACGCTTGTTGATTGTTATAAAAGATTAGATTTCAGATTAAAAAAAGAAATACCTTTTTTTTATTTAATTTTCTTAACTTTATATCATATTGAGAATACATTTATGTCATTAAAAGTCTAAAAACTTATATATTTATAGATAACTGTTTTGCCTTTGTAAGCTGGATGCATTTTAAAATTAAGCCAAAAATCTCTGTTATGAGCATTATTCAACGTTAATTTTTGAAGGGATTTTTTATCCAACACTATTTCTTATTAAATAAACGTTATTTTTAGCGGCTGCACGCGTTTCAGTTGCTATTTATATTTGGGGTTTGTTTGTTTTTTCAATATTTTTATAAAACAGTGAAATTAATAACAGCCGGTCTAATTCTCAATTTAAGCCATTAGTTACTAATTTCACTGTTTAATAAAAAATAAAGAAAAAAAAACGTGTAAAAAACTCTTAGATATGTCACCACCTAAAATAATATGTATACTAATAAGAAATTATTCAACGTGTAAATTTACAGAATTTCTTTAAAAATATGAATTTTTATGCTAGTCCTTAGAATTAATTGTAAATATGTTAGCATATATGTTAAATCTATCAATGTTATTGCCCATTAACATAGAATGCGCCGTCTGCATTGTCTGCAGAGGGTTAAGATACCTCCTATAAAAGGATGCTCTATCGGTTGGGTATAAAAACGCCGACTACGTCTCTTGAAGGGATATAAGGTTCATCCCCAAAAGAACTACCTTCCAGGTGGCTGCTGACCAAATCAGTCACAAATCCGACCAATGTCTGCATACACACCCAGAATAATAAAATAATTTTTTTAAATCTTGACATTAAATAACCAAGCAAGCGTTTATATATTGTTATTTTAACAACATATAAACGCTTGTTTGGTTATTCACTTTTAATTTTTAATAAACCGGCAAGCATTACGAAAAGAAATTGAGAGATGATTTAAAAAACTTCTCTCCATTTTATGAAAAAGAAACCTCTTTAGTTCGATTGTTTCTTCCATTTTGCTTTTTCTTCGCAACGAAATCTGGTTACGTTATCAATTTTGCGTTAGGTTCGTCTGGCGCAAGGACATATATTGAGATACCAAGTAGAAATCACATTCACGATAGATATTCAATGAGATTAATTCATAGCAATCACTGTACAGTAGGGATTCTTACAGACTAAATTTATCTTGGTCTCTCATAAGGCTTAATAATTGAGTTCCCAATGAGGATCGTACTCATTGCACTAGTGAATGGTTAGAATGGGTCACTTTATTTGAAGCTTTATTGAAAAGGATTGTTCATAATTTGCCTGAGAGTATTTATGAATTTTTTTCTAGTGAATTTCCTGGTTTTTAAACATAAACTCAGATGTTGACATGAGAATTTCCCAAACTCTGCTGCAGACCTCAAGATGTTCCGAAGAAAGATTTGCTGTCAGTTTTTATTACACAAAAACGGAGCTCTTTGCGAAAATCTGATTTTATGGGTGAGAAAAGTGAGAGATGCTAAAAGTGACAGGGGTGCAAAAAGTGGGGGTGGCAAAATGTCGTCTTCAAAAAAAAAAAAAGAATCAGTATTTGAATTTTGAAAAGAATCGAGCAGGAAAAAATCAATGAATGAATAAAAAGAGTGAAAAGGCCGCAAATTTATCCGCACTTCCTTGACTCATGCGTCTGTCAGTGAAATGTTCAGCCTCCCGAGAAGCGGCCAAGTGTACGGTGTACGGTTTATCCCAGTGTTAATAAATTAATTCCAAGTCTCCAAATCGCCTCTCTAGCCACCCACTCTTCTTTTAGAAAATAACACCTGCCTCAGCTTTCCTCACAAATCATGGACAAGACAAAGAAACGAATTTTACATTTAAAAAACAAAACACGAAATAATGAAAGTTGCTAATAGAATGATCAGATTTCTGTGTGTTTGGTACCATAACACAGCAAAATCAGCACGCCGTAGAGCCATTCTTGTTAGAGCAACAAAATGTCAAAAATGTTCCAACTTTGAGAATAAAGCAATCTTCCCGCGATTTGGCTTTGTGCTATACTAAGCTTAGTAAATATCAATTCCAATAAATGAAGTGACAATGAGAACTAAGTTAATATTAAGAAATGTCTATCTAGTATAATAAATCGGCAAAAGTATTGTACAAGACCTTTTTAAATATTACTCGCTTAAATACAACCTGTCGGCGGCCTTCACTCAATATCGTTTTGAGTTTATAACAAATGTATAGAATTATTTTGCAAATGTTATCCTATTATAATTGTGCATGTCTCTCCTGTCATTAATTCGCACAACCGTTACGCCCTGCCAACACCTCACAATTAATGGACTATTCCGTTATCTAACGGATTGTTCCGTTTTGATCGCGTGGAAAGAGGTGAAAACACACTACTTGGTTTCAAAAGAAAAAGTGAAGAGTGAATCAGTTTAAACTGATAACAACACTTTGATCTTTGACCACAATAAATGTGATATTTTTCAGACGCACAGTATCGAACGACGAAAACCGCCAAAAATACACTTACCATAAATAAAATAACATCGTCTGCGGAATTATTTTCAAATTATTATTAATAGAAATGTCCGTAAGACTGGGATTTGGTGAGAAAGAAAGAAATAAGGGAAGATAAAAGTGTTTAAACTTCTCCTACTAATACCGCCTAAATAATAGACTATTCCGTTTTGATCACGTGGTAAAAGGGGAAAAGACACTGCTTAGTTTCAGGGAGAAAATGAAAGAAAGAAAGAATTGTTTAACGTTTGTTTCAGTGAAATGTAAAAGTTATAAATTTCAAATCATTACATTTGTACCCACTTCTTAAAATAACAACCAGTATTCATATTTATGACTGTGCAATATTTTGTTAAAGTTGTTAATCTTAAATATTTAATGATTCAATTGGGGAATTTCTATTGATATTTTATTGTCGTAGAACTCGCCATGAAGATTCATCAAAAAATGAAAATAGGAAAACCGTGAAATTCTCACGGGTCTTCCTAGTTATTGTTACTATTAAAGTAATGTCATTGGTTTGGCACAAGGCTGATGGAATGAGTGCAGAAACTACTCTATACTTAATAGATAACAGACTTGAAATGGAGTTTTCACAATTTATCCTTAATTAAAAACGTTGTATTTTGCCAGTCTTCAGAGTAGCGATGGTCTGCTTACCTTGAAAATCAGTATTTGAAATCTTGGCAAGAACATTGGCCACTGGTATCAGTGAAAAGTACACAGCTCTCTCAAACACTAAGCTGACCGATAACACAGTGCAAATAATCCTTAATCGTAACAGTTGGCGGGGTCAACTGGTAAAAGAACTTTTACAACATACAACCCAGAATTAAAATTAGCTTGGTACAAGGTTACACTATTAGTGCACCCAGTTAGAATCAAATATAGTGCAATATATTCAGCAACGCTACTTAGCCAAAGAAGATCATGGATGATGTAATCAACGGACTTTCTCTCGTATTTGGTAACATGACGTGATTATAGGATCAGCTAAGTATACGTCGCAAATCACATGTCAAACTAAGTACCCGGCTATTTACACTATTTACATTGTTCAGACTGTTGTCATTTTCATTGTCATATTCACGACGTTTCGGCCGTTGTACGCTCTAGTCTTCTTCATGGCTCAGTGGATAAAAACGTTGGTTGTAGCAATCCAGTGACTTGACAAAAAGAGTTGTGAGTTCAATACCTGGCCACGACAGAGGTGAACAAAAACATTCAGAGTTCATTTACTAAATAGAATTAACTGAAACTGAGATATCCAGAAAAGGCATGACACGAGGAACTAGAACAGTCTACTCTAGTGGACTAAATAAAGGGTTCGGTTCGAAATTACAGTGTATATCACCTGAAGAAGGCCGCAGCGTACAACGACTGAGACGTCGTGGGTATGACAATAAAGATGAAGACAACAGTCTGAACAATATAATTCGTGTAAATAGTTGCAATACTTCAATGTAATAAATATAGACAGATGTTTAAGTACCCGGCGCACTAATATTGATTTGAACATGGAAGATAGATAGATAGATAGATAGATAGATAGATAGATAGATAGATAGATAGATATCCATTTACGTAGGCTCCTTATATTATGCAAAAAAGGGATGACAAATATATTCTTTGTATATTTTTATGTTTTTTTTTTTATTGAGTTGATAGGTGAGGGCAGAATAAAGTTCTTTGGAAATCAAAAAGAAATGTCATCAATATTAAATACTGACGAAGTCTGAAAGAGCAACCGAAATTTTTTGATTTCCAAAGAACATTATTGTGCTCACACATGTTAACTTAAAAGAAAATTTTATAAATTTACAAAAAGAAAATTTTGTCATACACTTTCTGTACACAAAGAGAGAGACACAGAGAGAGAGAGAGATGTGTAGTTATATCAATGTAAACATCAGTTTAGTCCAATTAAGTTCTAAAGGACGAAACGGGTCATACGAAATATTTTCCACATTGTTTTTAATTTTCCTAATATATATATATATATTATCATTTCACCTCAAGCAAGGCAATAAAGCCACTGAGGTACAAGCAGGTGCTACTGAGTGTGAGAGAATATGAGAAAAATATTATTAAAGCGAGAAAACAATAACAGAACAGGAATTAAGAAGACAGAAGATAACGATTAACGTTACATTTACATTTGTGAAGATCAAAAGCTGACTAGGAAGCAAGACGACAGAAGAGAGTTTCACAAGCGAGAAGTGCCAGAGAAGAAATTGCTAGCACAGAACTTGCGGTTACGTCTAAACATTTCAACTATTAGATGGTGACACCTTGCTACTAATCTACTATTGCGTTTAAATCCATAAAGTCTAGGTATCAAAGAGAAAAGTTCATCAGAACAATTACCATGAAAGTACTTATAGAAAATGCAGCAATATTCAATGCATTGACGAACGGTAGACTTATATATGTGTAAGATAGATTCTAGAGAGAAAATTGTCTATCAACATACATATATATATATATATATATATATATATATATATTCTTCGATTTGAGACATTTCTAATTTTAAAAAAATGTTCTCACTTGAAATATTCAAAACACAACTCTAGCGTTACGACACTGCACGTTCCGAAATTGTACCGTTAATAAATAGCACACTTAAAAAAAAAATCTTTCGGCTTGCAATACATTTACTTTCGTCTTGGAAATTTACCTGAAATTTACCTGAAATAAAAACAATATTAGTACCTGACGATGAAGGAGCGAATTTCTTCGAAAGTACTTGTAACAGAACATCTAATCCATCTCATAATTTTAAACAAAGATCGCGTCATTCAGAAAGTTATAATTGCCGGTTCTCTTTGTGTCTTTTCTCTATTCCCTTTTAATGACACACTCTCTACTGCACTGTGCACATCCGGTATAAATAGGTCACTATGTCTGGTCCCTACGACTTCGCACATATCTCCTTGAACAGACATATATTTCTTTCTCCCTCTCTTCGCTTTTCCTTCCCAGCCTTGAATGCGTATCCCTCTTCTTCTTCTCTTCCACCTTTTCCCTCCCTCTATTTTGAATACATGCCCCAACTTTTCGCTCTTCCCCCAATTTGAAATTTACATAAATTATGTAGATAAATGTTTTTTATGCCCGGTTAAATTTGTATCTATTTTTGTGAATATGTTTAGTCTGATGAGTTAAAACCGTAATATCAGTTTTAATGAAATAAAATATTACCATGATCTTTTAAAGTCTCCGTTTTTCACATTTTCATAATAATTATATATATATATATATATATATATATATATATATATATATATATATATAAAACTTTGCACCAATGAAAAGTGCATGAATTTGTTTTTTTAAATCAATATATCTGATGAGTGGACGGGGCGATTGCAGGAGGGTCCTACGAAACTCCAGAGTCGACATGCTGAAAATTACATCAATCATCTAAGTGATAAATTTTATATTTCCTTTTTTCCCATATATATATATATATATATATATATATATATATATATATATATATATATATATATATATATATAATTTTATAAATATGTTTTTAACGAAAAAGGTCTTTCTGTATGTGCGTGTGTGTGTGAGAGAGAGAGAGAAAACGTTTGTAGGATGTCTAATAATATTCGAAACAAAAGAGATGGTCAGACAAAGTGGAACATTTTTATCAAAGACGCGTTTCGCCACCGGAGAAAATGTTTGTTCTCTTTAGCTTCTTCAGTTTGAGAATGAATGAAAGACAGAAATTTTGCGAGGTAATGCCAAACGCAAAGGCTGCAAGATCCACAGCAGAAAAATACAAAAAAAACAAACACAAATAATAATAATCTCGACAACTATAACAAATTCAAATGCATCAACCTATCTGCCAACACCATGACAGCCACCATCGTAAAAAATCTGTCCAACCTTGACATAAAATTCATCAACATAGCCTCTAAGACAATAAAAGATATAGTTAGCATGGCAACAATAACAGAACAGAGGCAGGAATATACAAATAGACTGCACAATATGCCCATTAATGTACATCGGCGAAACATTCAGAAACCTCAAAAAAAAAAGATTATATGAACAGCGCAGAGATATTCTGCATAACAACAATCTAAATGCACAGGTGGTTCATTGTAATATATTTGACCACAGTTTTGATTTAAAAAATATCTGATCAGACGAGAACAGAATTCACTGAGAAGGAAATGCATTGACAGTGCGCTAATCTCGTAGTTCTCACCCTTAACTTATTTCACCGATCATTGCAAAGAAAATAATAGCACAATGTTATACGAGTTGGCGGTAAGAGGAACAAGGACCCAATTGGAGTCCAATGATTTAAAAACCTACAGACCTCAACGGATCTAATATATATGTATGTATGTACATGCATGCATATGTGCATATATATATATATATATACAAAAAATGGCTCTTATAGATATATTGTATGGTTTCATGAATGTATCTTCTTGTGTATATATATGGCGCACATATGCATTATATGGGTGTGTACAGATATATATGAATAGTGGTGTGTAAAAATATGTGTGTACAGGTATACGTATACAAAAATGTCTCTATAATATGTATGGGCACATGTATATGTGCGTATGTATGTGTGAACGGCTATATATCAATGGGTATGTAGGTATGTCCAGGCATGTACAATTATGATAAAAATGGCTCTAATACATGTATACGTCAAGGTGGATGTAAATGTGAATAAACATGTCGGTAATTATATATATATATATATATATATATATATATCCAAAAAAAAATACAGAAAAACAAAATTCTGAATATGCATTATTAATGTTAAAATAAAGTCGACGTCGGACGTTTCGGTCTATTTAAGACCATCTTCATGGACATTTTCATTTAAACATAATTAACATTATAACTTATAACAATTTAAACAAAAGACGATGGACATAAGAGCCCAACTAATTCAAACAGATAACTGAAATTTTATACAGATCAGCGTTCTGTTTAAATATGATCACGTAGTCGTCTCGTGGGCGATGTTGTTAAAACGTATTCGAAGATGATTTCAAAAATAAAATATCAAAAAAGTCGATTGAAAAATTTTTTTAAAAAAGTCAAAGAAATCTCTTCCGTTGATGTTGGAATACGTAGTGAAACAATTGGCTCTCACATCCTCAAAAGCTGAGAATTTTAAATGTATTTTATTTGCTTTTAAATTTTCGGTAAAAAAAATATTTATTTTTTCAGATTCTTTTTTTGAAAATGTCCATCATTGGTCTTAAATAAACCGAAACGTCCGACGTCGACTTTATTTTAACATTAAAATGCATATTCAGAATTTTTTTTTTCTGTATTTTTTTCTTTATACTGTCGGATTTATATCCATATATTTGCTTACATATATATATATATATATATATATATATATATATATATGTGTGAATATCAATGATTCTGTTATTTTTGCTTTTAACTGGGTTTATGGGTTGAGTGTATGTTTCTAGACATTATGAGGATTGATTTATTACATTGCAGCCGTCTTCGTAGTTAATATTATTGAGTGTTGGCTTTTTCTAATTATTATTATGCTCTCTGACCGCAGCTCCATTAGAACCCATTTAAACACACACACACACACACACACACACACACACACACACACACACACACACACACACACACACACAAACTTACCAGACTCCATCCGAAATATACTAATAGAAAGTACAAACGCAATCACCTTATCCACATGTAAAAAACATAAAAAATAATGGAAGGCTTAATAATAAAAAAGAAAATGCCAACCAGCACTCAATAATATTAACTATGAACACGGTCACAATGTGCTGACTGTGTTCGGAAAATAAAACGTCCTTATAACTCTAAAAACATATATAAAACCCATACACCCAATTAAAAAATAAAAATAAAATCATCCTTGATAATGGTATAAAAGTATAGTCGAAAACGCTCGGAATTACAAAACATTTGGACAGTTTTTACACATTCTTTGTCCACAAAGAAAACACATGTTCGAACACAAGGAAAATTAAATAAAAAGCTTAATCGCAGGACCTTCATCTCCCATCACCTCCACTTTCACACACACACACACACACATATATATATATATATATATATATATATATATATATATATATATATAACAATTAGTAAGCATTCCCTATGCAAGTGTATTTTGCGCAGTAGTGATGCCCTATTTCTGTAGTCTTGTGGCAGACTAAATGTAGTTGAGTAAATTGGGCACTTTTCTCTAAATATTGTAAGTCGTTTTTTTGCTTGTGATAATCAAACAGGCTGGATCACCTTTTCACCATTAATTATGTGAGTGGTTTGTATGAGTAAGTAAGATGCGAACGCTTTCTGTAATCGAGTCTGGTCTTCACACCAATGTTTTCCCATCGAGCAATTCGGAAATGAAACACCATAAAGATTATGGCCGAAACATTTGAACCTAAAATGGATGCGAAGTAAGTGGGTGGGTGAAGAGAGAAACGGAATAATTTCACACGTCTAGCTTTTTCCCATCGGACAACACGCTCGCACCTTACGAATTCTGGGGGTTCACTGTTCACGGCATCAGTTTTTGTCTCCCTCAACCTCTCCCGACAATGACAGATGGTAAGACTGCATCGGAAAAAAGAAAGAAAGAAAGAAAGAAAGAAAGAAAGAAAGAAAGAAAGAAAGAAAGAAAGAAAATGAAAGGAAGACAGGAAAAACTTTGACCGGATGAAAGCAAAATGTAACAAAACGGATTTCCAACCTCTAACCCCCTGCCATGACAGCGACAGATGGTTGGCAATCACATTCAAGCAAAACGGGTGGCCTGAGTTTGATTCACGAACAACAGCAGCAACAAAATATCCCCAAGACCCCACGCCATGTTGTTGTATCAACATTAAATCAAAACTCATCATGTTGTGTCTTTTCTTAAATATTAGAAATTAAATACCAATTCGAAAAGTCAGGATTATTTAATATTTGGGGGAATTCCTTAAAAAACAGAATGGCAGCGTTGACTGTTACAACCAAATTACCGTATTTGCCGACCTATTGGACGCGGATTTTCTCCCAAAATATGCACAAAAATTGCCCTGCATCCAATACAGCATTATTATGTATGAGAGGGACATGAAAACCACGAAAAAAAATGAGGTTCCCTAGGAATCAGTGCATGCATAGAGGTTAGCTCTGAAAATAGGACCCCTGCAAGTGAACAAACATGATATCAATAAAAAATATCCCTGAAAAATTGACCCAGGAAAAAGAAATTGTGCTAAAATTTTCTTTTCCAAAAAATGTCCTTGTAATTAAACCTTACCTTACTTTATTAAAAAAAAAAAAAAACGACCAGTAGTATAATTTCTGCTAATACTGTAAGTGTTTCTTGATGGTTAGTGAGAAGGTCACAGAAAGGTAACGTTATAATTTTTGTTTTTTTATATGTACGCATTTTTCCCCTAAATATTCCTCGCCAAAATCTCTGTGCGTCCAATGTGTGGGTGCGTTCAATGCGTGGGTGCAATAGGCAAACAAATACAGTAGATTACCTTCTTTAAATATTGATTCGACCTGAGAATAAATGGTCAACATCGCTAGATCACAAATATTTTGACAATATTTATATTTATTCGATGGAGCTATACATTCTCCTATATACTAGAAGAAAACATATCTAAAAAAGTAAATAAAAAAAAGCACTTGGTCAAACTTGAACAATAAAACATGGAAGAACTTGGGATATTAAAATCCAAGGTTAAACCAACTCTGGACAAGATGAAGAGGAACAAGCGTCAGAACCAAACGTTGTTGTAACAGAAATGCTGACAGACTTAAACGATTTTCGATTCACCTCTTGAGTAGAGGACCACAGAGGTGGGTGTTGCTTTTCTTGTTTCTATAGCAAATAACTGGGTCGTATTGCTAGCCACATACTCAACCGGTTTTGATTTTTGAGTTCCTAAACTGGTTGCCAACTATAGCTAGAGTGATCAGTTGCCCTTGTTATTAGCTACTAGCCGAGAGAAGAGATGGACTCATATTTAAATGAAATATATGATAACGGTGAAGTACCAGAAGGCCTCTGTAGATCTTTCTTTATATCGCTGTTAAAGAATGCGAACTTCATTAGACAATCAGCTTCATAAAGAATTAAACTAATAATGACTAAGGTGTGTTGCAAAATTAATCCGGAAATAAGGCAGGAACAAGGTGGATGTGTTCAAACACTAACAGGAAATGCAGTTTTTTATTATCAGATTACTACTCGAACGAACAACATAAGAGCAATACGATCTGTAACCGTGTTTCATAAATTACACAATGATATTCGATAAAGCACAGTACGAATAATTTCTTTAAATGTTAGAAAATCTTGATCTACGCGGAAAGGATATTAATTAATCTGAAACCTTTAATTGGGAACTAACGTCTTGTATACCACTTAAAAGTGTGAAGAAGATTAAGAGGAGGACAAGTTTTCTCACAGGAATTATTTAATCTGGACAGCGAGATGATTAATGCTGATAGTGTTGATTCGACGGCGCATGCGCACGAACGAAAGAGACGCTGAAAATTTCAAATTTAAAAATATTTTTATTAATATTTCTTTTGGATTTATAATCCAGCCAAATTCATTTAGGTGCTTTTTGTTTATGTTTTCATCTCTTGTTATGATCCCACATTGGGATAATAGAAGATTCGCCATGAATATTGAAAAGTTGTAAAAATCGAGATGCAAATTTACTGTGGATGATCTAGTGATTAAAGCACTTTCTGAACATTTTCGTCTTAGTAAATCGTTTTCTCTTTTAATGGCATATCAGCTTTAGTAGCATTTTTCATAACAAAATTGTGGCCAGTCTTGTTATAGTGAACAATTAATGTGTTGTTTTGTAAAAGATCCCTTTTGTGTTCTTATACCCTTTATTTCATATTTAAATTTATTTCATTATTTTATATAATATTTATATTTATTTAATCATTTTATATAAACTATGTATATAATACGCCACATATATATTTACATTTTTTGTGTGTGTAACGACTGAGAGGCAGTGTGCAAAATAACGATGACACACCCGGTGCCGGACAAACTTGGTCCCGTTGACGCGTACTGATATTGCTATGTTTCTTGTAATAATTCATTAGTCATCGAAAGAGTTTTGTTTTTTATTCACACTACATCCTTCATTTATATTATTTATGATAACAATTAAAAGCTTATACAATTAAATAATTAGACAGCTTTAATGCAGTTTTTATGTTATGGATAACAAAGCGACAGTTGGAAAATATATTTCTTAGTCATTGCCGACGCGTTTCGTCAATCCGACTTTATCAAGGATATAATGAATTTAATGTAACTAAAAAACATTCCGCTTTTAAACTTGCCTTGATAAAGTCGTATTGACGAAACGCGTCGGAAATATATTTTCCAGTTGTCTTATCTTTAGAATTATCCTGATAAATTCAACATATATATTTATATGATTTGGAAAGAACGTAATTTATTATGGTGAAAATTTATAGAAAGTGCCATAATTTCCGATTCGTCTACTGTAATTTTACGTCCTGGTTGATACAACATGTTGCTTTTTTGAGTCTTCCAAAACTACTGCTATTACAGTGAAGAATATTATTTTCAGATAATATTTAAAGAAACACCAAAAACCTTAAAACAAAAACCTTAACAGTTGGCAGCTGAATGAGACCGGCTTGGTTGGGCATCGAGAGACATCAGAAGCCAAGAACTTAAAATTCAAAGTGAAGGTTATTTAAATTGTTCAGACTGTTGTCCTCGTCTTTATTGTGATATTCACGACGTTTCGGCCGTTGTACGCTCCGGCCATCTTCAGGTGATGGGATTTTCGAACTGAACCCTTTATTTCGTCCACCGTGGTAGACACATGCCCCCAGTGGATAAAAGCATTGGTTGGATCCAGTAACTTGACCCAAACAGTTGTGAGTTAAATACCTGTGGTGAACAAAAACTTGGAAATAACTGGAATGGCACGTGGAACTAGAACAATCTACCTCGATCCATTTCGAAATTCTAATCACCTGAAGAAGGCCAGAGTGTAAAATAGCCGAAACATCGTGAACATGACAATACAGATGAGTCCGAACAATGTAAATAATTACAATACCTCATCTCATAAATATAGACAGATATCAGAGCGTTACGTCGTGAATTTCGTGATATAGTAATTGTTGAGTTCAATCCCTGTTCTGTCCCAACCCCCGACGATAGAAACAATTGAAGATAAAATAAATATAATATTATAATATTCAGTCGAATAGTAACTGTCGGCTTTCGGTGGAGATCAAATGACAACAAGTCCTCAAATTTCCAGACTCCATACCCAATAAAAGTATTTTTCTAATTTCAATCAGCTTGTTGTTTTAATTCGAATTTCTGCAAAAACCTTCCTAGTTATTTACAACTAACCTTAACATCGTGAGGTTCTTTCTTTTTGATTCATTTTTTACGAAATATTAAAAAAAAAAAAAAAAATTCATTCAATAACAACCTTGCGTCTTATACCGCGATCGTTCAGTTCCTATGTCATTTCGCCACAAAAGAACTCCTTCAATAATGATACCTTGATGATTAGGTCAAAGGAACAAAATACACCTAATCTCTCCGGTTTAATACAGCAGTAGTCCCCTGAGCAACCAGAATTAAATCATTTTTATAAGTGATTCAATTAATATTAAAATCAAAACAATACTAAAATATAAACAAAAAATTTTATCATTTGAATTTTATAAACAAACAATATACACGTGATATATATACAAAGTGTCAGATGCATATTTTTTCCCTAATCTTCCTGACCAAATTCTTGGTGCATGTTATGCCGCACGAAATAACCGATATTTATTTAGAAAAAAAAAATCATTATTATTATTGACTTGAATTAAACAAAAAATCTTTTATCTTAGAAAATTAGATTTCAATCATTTTTCGTTGTCTCATTTTGAAATAAAAAAAAAAATGAAATAAAAAATGATTAAATGAACGAAAATTGCCATTCGCACTAAAATCCAATGAATTATTTTAACTCCTTTGCAACGGAAGGAATTATTTTAACTCCTTTAAGAATAAGATTAACGGACTTCGAAGGATTAGCTTACACACAATTAGCTTACATATGTATGTATGTATATATATATATATATGTGCATATGTATATTCAAACATATATTGTTAAATATAACAGACAACGAGTGTCTATTATGTTTGATCACGAGCCGTTCTAAACTCTGTATATTTGCTTTAATTTCGGTTTGGTTTGATTTGATTTGATTTGTTATTTGTTTTATGCCATATCAACACTTCAATGGGTTACTTTATGTTGACATGATTTTTTGCTGGTAATAATTAGTTTCTTCAAAAATTCATTGCTAGTAGCAAATTTTTTCCAAGAAATGTATTGATGCTATTTTTACACTTTCATTGTGTTTTGACCCGAGTTTGGGGGTTAACTATTTTCCCATATCTGGAGCCCTAACAGGTGCTACCACCCCAGGTCAGGGTGGGCTTGGGAACACAAGCAATTAAGAGATGGTTCCAAGCTCAATAAAAACTCCTGATCAGTGGCCTTGCTGCTGGACGTAGTTTGTCGTCGTATTCAGGACGGTTTAATTTCGGGAGAAAATAAGGTCAAAAAATTGTCCAACATTTAGATATTTTTTTATTATGCTGTTCTTGATCTAAGCTTTCGGCTCACAAGAGACATCTTCAGAGTGGTTATATGGACAATTAAACAAAGATATTCACTTTCAAAGATAATATTCTATTATGTTGACATAGAAGATTGCTATGCGACGATAACGGTCGCGGAATATCAGACGCAGGTCGTAAGTTCATGATGCGGTTGTATGACGTCATACC